CAAAGTTCGTAATCCGGACTTGTCGGGACTTTTTCGATCAGGGAAACGATTCCGTATTAGGAGTTTTTCCGGATTATAGATCATCAATTTAAATCTGGTAAGATGGCATGCAGAAATTATACAATTAAAAATATGAAACCATAATTTATGAAATAATGAGCAATTATGATTTATAGGGTATCAAAAGTTACAAAAAAAAACTTAATATTTATTTGTTTACCTTATTAAACATTTCTTTCAATGTAAGTTGCTTCCTTTTTATGCTAATACTTTCTCTTTAATTCTATAAACAGACATAATTTCTTGTTCAGTTACAAAGTTCCACTTTTCAAGTACTGTAATTGCTGTGTCGAGAGTACCGACTAATTTGTCAATCGAAATTTTTTCGTTTTCACTAAACTCTCTGTCACTTTCTATCATAAGTGCACATGGGTAAATGCTTTACGTGCATGCGTAGCAGACGCGCGCATTAAACGTGCATGCGTAAGTTTGTGGCTTTGAGGTCCGGATTATCGATCATTCCGGATAATGGACGTCCGGATTACGAACTTTGTACTGTAATCAATTATTCATAAATTTTACATGCAATTTGCATAATACATTAGAATAAAATATTTTAAATTTAACATATTAATTGAAATATACCTTGAAGTAAAAAAAAGGGGGGGAGAAACTTGAATGGCATTCTAACATACAGAAATGTAAAAAACAGGTTGAGAACACTGTGATATACTGCTCTTCTACTTCAGTATATTTCATTAATACACTAAAAAAACCTAGAATAATCTAAATTTGCTGGCAAATTAATCATTGCCATATATAATAACTATCTTCTCTAAAATGATCACTGTTTTAGACAAACAAAATCTGTAAATTATCATCATCTCAGACAGTATTCACTGAATATAGAAGTATTAATTATTAATAAAAGTCTATGTTTCAAGTTCTATTAGACCATTACATATAATTTTAATTTTTATTGCCACAAGAAGATTACTTTCTGGACCAAATATGTTTTAATTTTTATCAAATATTACAAAAAAGATGCTCACTGCTTATTTTAAGTCCTCCTTCTCCACCCCATCCCCGATAAAATTAAAAAGAAGAAAACATGAAATTCAGCATTATCTGCTGGTCATATATTGTGTAATATTAAAATAAACTAGAACTCCAAAGTACAAAGAATATGAACGAATTTTCTCTTGAATAAGTGCTGTTATTCAGCAGAATATAACACAAAAAAACAACAAAGTCTAGGAGGGTCAGGAGCACAAACGGAAGAACTTCCTCTCACCTGATAAAGATAAAACAGTCATTACTTTTCTCCATTCGAAAAAGTAATTCTTGAATGTTTAAAAAGTACTTTGATATTACCATAATCACCTTGGCAGAAGACACCAAACTGTTGCAACCATGCACTACAACCATGTGGCAACTATGCACTTCAGGTAACCATATCAATAAGGGTAAGTTAGAATAAGCAAAGTCACTATTTTCATACATGCTGTTTTGGTTATATTAGAAGCTCTAAAGGCAAAGTACAACATTTTTGGTCTTCCGCTAAATTTTGAAATCATGTGGTTGTGAGATTTGCCTACAAATGAAAAAAGTTCTGTTAAATTTTTTCAGGAATATAATATTTTGCACAAAGGTGGAAATGTTCAGATTTACATTTGATGATGATGTATTTTGAAAATGTACATGTGAAAAAGTATAATGAATACATCAACATTCAAAGTGTAACTAGTTCGAGAATAGTTCTCTTCCATAGCAGCAGTCAGATTTATATATTGTTGAAGTAAAGAATTAAAGAGTGTTTTCCCATTGTTTTGAATCTATTCTTAAAGCAATCGCTATGAAATTTTCAATGGAAGAAAAGAAACAAAAACCTACATGTAGGCAGTTTTATATATAGTTTTTTTGGAATAAATATTGAACTAAAATTAAAATATATATCTAATAACATGTACAATATGAAATAAACAACTTTCTCTGATATGATATGATATGAAATTGCTGTTCTTTTTCTTCAAAAACCGTCAAACTGCACCAAGGTGGTTGAAAAAGAGGATTCAAATATATTATCTTCGATTAAAATATAAAAATACCTAAAATTCACTAAATTAAGAAATCTGAGATCAAAAACTTTTAATAGTACTCATTAAAATCATTCATTATTAAATACAGTCAAAAGTCGTTAATCCGGACATCAAAGCTACAAACTTTCTGCGCATGTGAAAAAAGCATTATGCGTTTACACATGCGCATAGCCATTTCTGCATGAGCGTAATACCTTTACGCATGCGCATAATACGTTTACACATGCGCATTTAATGTATAACGGACGGTATAAGCTAAGCTAAAATTATCTAATTATCAATTTCAGTTAATGTTGCAGATTGCGTTGTTCCTTAATCTTCGAATTGGATGCGGCTTATAATTTTTTGCAGACTGTTAGAGCAGTTTTATAAAAGTAAGCTGGAACTTTCAATTATGTCAAATAGAATTTCTGATTCTGGAGCTGCCAAAGGATCTGTCTACAAAGCGAAAGCATGCTTCAATGTCCATCAAACAAAAAGTGGAATTGCTGCAAAAAAATGGATAAGGGCATATCCTTTGTTTTTCTAACCATTCCGAAATCTGTTCATCAATTTCACGCTGCTCTACAGGGCAAACGTCACGGCATGCAATGAACTGGAAGTTGATCTGTCAGCACTATCCTTATCTTCAGGGCAGATGTTTTTATTTTATTTGGCTTATAATTCCTTACTAAATGTAGTATTTCATCTCGATGTACTCCGTCTTTGATATGATTTAAATCAAATTCCTCGTCATTATAAATATCACGAATACACATCAAATAGTTTTCTGGTTGCAATTTTCTAATTTCGACTATGCGTAATGTATGCTTTACGCATGCGCGCGTTGAAAGAAATGTTTAATAAAGTAAACAAATAAATATTAAGCTTTTTTTTTTTTTTTTTTTTTTTTTGTAAATTTTGATACCCTTTAGATCATAATTGCTCTTTATTTCATAAATTACGGTTTCATATTTTTAATTTTATAATTTCTGCATGCCATCTTACCAGATTTAAATTGATGATCTATAATCCAGAAGAACCAATAATCCAGAATCGCCGAAATCCCAACGAGTCTGCATTAAAGACTTTTGACTGTATAAGAGATTTATCGCTAATTACAGTACTTAATACATTTTGGTAAATTGTGTAACACAGAAAGTCAAAATCTCAGTTTTTAATCAGGATGTCAACCATCGGTTTTTGAGAAATTTCAGAAAGTTGCCATGTACATAAACTTCAGTAGTTTCTTAAATGTAATAGCTCCTATTATAATTGTTATTTTCGTATTTTAAATTACAAAATAACAGGAAAATAAAATACTCATTACAATACGCAATTACACCTTTATATAATTAATATATATAAATTTGAGGCTATTAAGCTAATTAATTGAAACTCTTAATATTTCTAAAAAAGTAATAGGTAACACTTTTTATAGGCAAACCATTAGGCTGAAAAATATATGTACTGAAATAAAAGATTTAAAAGAAGAAATAATAAAGTAAATAAATGAACAAATAACCAGGTCCCAGCACAGTTTATTAATTTTTATATTAAAAAGGCAGGCATTAACATCTCTATTTAATTTATTGACTCTTTATGTTATTGATAGCATTAGCTTAAACCTTAACTGGAGGATAATGAAGAGCTAATCACTTCTTATGTAAATATGTATATTTCAATTTAATCAATACTGGCTGCTTTCCTTTTATTAAGGAACAGCTAGCTCTTTTCTAAAGTCTCAATTGTAGCTCGAAATGAGTGAAGATTTTTAACTTTTCCACATTTTCCTTACTGTTGGCCTGTATTTAGTGAAAGTTTTAATTTAACTTTAGTTTAACTTTAATTAAATTATAATTAAAAATTTTTTGTCAAGCTTTAATTTATTCTATTTTCAAAATTTGGAGACATTAACTTTCTACTTCGTTTGCATTACCATTTACCATCAAACCTATGCTTTAAATTTTCTTTTTTACAAAATTTATTCATTTGTTTTTTCGCACAGAACTTATATTTTTACAATAATAACAGTTAGCAGCTACATTTTTACAACACCTAACACAGTTTGCAGCTTCACGGTACTCAACTTTACATAGTCTCAGCGCCTTGTTTTCACAGTCAGCAGCTACAAGCTTCTCAACTGTAAATAGTTTAGCAATGTTTTAAATTAGAATAATGTGGTAAAAAGTAAGTTAAATTGAAACTATTCACTTGCCTTTTTGTATTATTTTGATTGTATTTATTTTATATAATATTTCATTTATTATTCTTGCAATTTTAATGATGTTTATAATTAGTATTTTAGTTTATTTTGGTTTGCATGCATAATTCGTGTCAGAGACGTACCTATAGAGGTTTGGGATTCTAAATTACTTTTAATTTATTATTCTTTCCTACTATGGATTTGTTTTCTTAATTTCTCAAAATTCCTTAAATAATAAATTTCTCATTTTCACATATCACTACTTTTGATTTTGTGAATTTCTTTAGCCATACCTATACAGATGAAGAAACACGAATTGGGTAATTGAAGAGTTAGGTTTGGGGGCAACTTCCCCTTGAAAAAATCTGTCTCCTGCCTGCTCAACAATTATTCACTTTATGCAAATTAAAATTTATTTTTAAAATTTTAAAGGTTTTTAAGATAAAACTTTGGGGATTGTGTTATGTTTTTAATGTACTTGCATGCTTGCACTTTATTTACTTATGTTTTCTGAACTTGTTGATATTGCAAATTAGTTGGCAGCAATAATTAATTTATTTATTTTGTTTTCAATTGAATTTGCTTATTTTTTAAATTTTAATTTGCTTTATATGAATGAGATTATAATATTTTATGTATTAAATTCATCTATATACACACACACACACACTTTGTAATATATATAAAAAATCTCAATATATATTAAAAATACAAACCTGTCCAGCAGTCAAATAATGACACACTTGTAGAACAAGAAAAAACACTTTTAAAGCTTCTTTTTGAGCAGTACTGCCTTGCCAAGCTTCCACTAACTGCCCAGCTAAAGTGAGCACCTGGTGGACTTCTTGGAGTTTGCGGTCAATCATCAAAAGCTTTTAAAAGAGAGATTAATTACATTATGAGAAACATTTTATTTTGAACAATTATCAAGAAATTACAAAATCTTTTTGTTCCTGTAAACGTAAAAAAAATATACATATTAAACTTGGGAAACAAAATTGATAAAGATTTGCATAAAGAAGTATACTTGTTCCAGATTGATATATCTCCCCCTTTGTTTTTTATCATTTCAACTTTATGTATAAACTCATTGGTAATTTATCAAGGCAATATTAATAATATATATATATATATATATCTATATACAGTCAAAAGTCGTTAATCCGGACTCGTCGGGACTTCGGCGATTCCGGATTATCGATTTTTTTTCCGGATTATAGATCATCAGTTTAAATCTGGTAAGAATGGCATGCAGAAATTATAAAATTAAAAATATGAAACCGTAATTTATGAAATAAAGAACAATTATGATCTAAAGGGTATCAAAATTTACAAAAAGAAAAAGCTTAATATTTATTTGTTTACTTTATTAAACATTTCTTTCAATGTAAGTTGCTTCGTTTCATGTGATAATACTTTCTCTTTAATTCTATTAAACAGACATAATTTCTTGTTTAGTTATAAAGTTCCGCTGTTCAAGTCCTATAATTGCTGTGTTGAGAATACGGACTAATTTGTCAATCGAAATGTTTTCGTTTTCAATAACCTCTGGGTCACTTTCTTCACCATCGGAAGCGAATTATAATGACGAGGAACTTGATTTAAATCATATCAAAAACGGAGTACATCGAAATGAAATACTACACTTAGTACGGAATTATAAACCAAATAAAATAAAAACATCTGCCCTGAAGATAAGGATATTTGATAAACAGATTTCGGATTTCAAAACATACTTTCGCTTGTTAGATACAAATTACATATTAGTAAATATATATCGGAAATTCTATTTGACATAATCTTTCTAATCTATCATAATCTAATAATGACGTTTCTGCCCCCCCCTCTGCCGCAGAGCAGCGTGAAATTGATAAACAGATTTCTGATTTCAAAACATACTTTCGCTTTGTAGTAAATATATATCGGAAATTCTATTTGACATAATCGAAAGTTCAAGCTTACTTTTATAAAATTGCTCTAACAGTCTGCAAAAAATAATAAGCCGGATCCATTTCGAAGATTAAGGAACAACGCAATCTGCAACATTAACTGAATTAGATAACTTTAGCTTAGCGTATAACTCCGTTACACATTAAACGCGCATGCGCACAAACATATTCGCAGCCGTAAGGGTCTTACGCGCTCTCGTAAACGACTGTGCGCATGCGTGAACGCGACGCATGCGCAGAAAGTTTGTGGCTTTGAGGTCCGGATTATAGATCATTCCGGATTACAGGTGTCCGAATTAACGACTTTTGACTGTATATTATATATATAATTTATTTCCTAAACAGTATTGATTAATTGATTATATATATATATATTATATATATATATATATATATATATATATTATATATTATATATTATATATATAGATATATAATATATACATAGATATATATATGTATTATCACATACATATATATGTGTGTATGTGATAAAATCAAACTCAAAAGCAATGACCAGCAAGATCTTTGATGGCGTAGAAGTGTTGATCCATAATGAATAGGAAATTGGAGGTGAAGGCAGATTAAATCTTCATTTTTATTTCAGCACAAATGTTGAGGTCACAATCAAGTAGGCACAAAGCTTACATTTTAGACAAATTTGCAATTAGATAGAAGGAGCAGACAGACAGCAGTTCAGCTAGGCAGGCCAAAGCATTGACAGCAAGTGCGTTATGTTCAGGGTGAAATCTTAATTCAAACTTAGATTTGATTCTCAATGCATTTTGATTGGATATTTAATACTTCTGTAAAATTATTATTGGCTGCTTGAGTTTTATTTCCATTTACATAATCAAAATTATGTAAGAGTCATATGACATGGACTAGTCATATCACGCTGCAAACTTAATCAGTTACAAAATTCATTAATTTAATACACAGAAATTTATGTTACATTTGGTGATACTTCTGGTAGCTATGATAAAAAAAATATGCTTACTAAAAATACACCCTACTTATTGATATGTTAAAATCAAGTGCCTTCCCCATCACTTCTATACTCGAGCTTGGAATGGCAAAGAAGTATGACGATATAATTTACTTGAATATCCAAACAATTAGGTCTGTCAAATCCATAATAAGTTTCCATACTGCCCCCTTCCCAAGATGATAAATAGGTTGGAAATAGTCTGGGTAATTAGTTTTGTACTGGATAGAAAGCCATGATCATTACTAGAAATTCCATTTATTATTTTTATCATCTTGGAATACTTTAGACAAATAGCATGCCATTCATGCCACTAAATTTATTCATCATCCTCCACTTGGGTACTACAGTTCCACTTACTATTTTAGCATCTTATGCTGCATTCAAACGACGGAGTAAAGAACATAGAGGCATAGTCATAAGGGCATAAAATACGGGGGTTCCGTTCACACCTGCAAGACGGGGGTCTAAGCTGTGGCCAATGAGAAAAGCTAAATTTGCGCATGCGTGGATGTGTCTACACCTTTCGCACGCTGTTTTCTAGCTTGACTGATTTCCCGCGCTCACTCTGCTTGTTTTCGTTATTTTGTGTCATGGCTTTTTCAGCTTACCACAAAGTTTTATTGGTTCAACAGAATGCTCTTTTATCTGCCCTTCTTATAAGCCAAGAGGCAATGGAAGAAGGTTAAAAAAAGAACAAAATGGTCTAGATATTTTTTTTTTTTTTTGAATACTAATACTTGGTTGGCACATATTTTTGTGCAAAGCAATACGGAATATTTCTGCATTGTACTATAGTACTCTCTATACTATAAACATGCACAATGCATATTTATGTACATTAAAACCTTCTTCAATTTTTATATATAATTTCTCTTAGGAGAAATACGATATTCTAAATATGCCTAATTAAGAAAAAAAAATCTTGAGGATAAGTGACAGATAGCCTGTATATAATATTTTTCCATTTTGCAGGTGTGAAAGCAGTTAAGCGGGAAGCAATACTTGCAATACCTTAATTTTTTTTTTCCAATCAAAAGGAACATGTTTCTGTGCTTAGCACTCCTTATTCACTGTCAATGTCGATCACTACAGTAGTTGGCTGCACTACCAGTGTCAATTATCACTAGTACTAGTATCCCACAACTGGTCACCATAACCAGCAACCACAACTAGTACAATACTATGAAACGTTCACCCAACAATGTATTTTATGCTCAATCATTAAATACATTTTGCTGTATTGCCAGCTGTTTGTATACATCTTTTTTGTATCCTTTTTGTGGATAATTCTGCAAACAGGTATGTTTACATCATACGAGTAATTCAAATTAACTTTGCTCTGCTGTGAGATGTCATAGATGTAAATTTCATCCACGTCTGTTGTCAGAAATAATTACTTTTAATGATTTTTCATTTGCTGACGGATTATGACACTTCTTCACTCACTGGCAGACATGCATAGTAAAGCACCAAAAAGAGTTTAATTTCAACATATGCTGTCATTTCTATTTACGACCAATATCTCAAAAGTAATTTCCAATTGAGAAATTTTAGGTACCCAAGTCTTCAAATACAACAAAATTATAAACATTCACACCTTATTCCAGGAATTTTTACCGGAGAAATAGCATGAGTTTAATGATGAAAATTCCATTCAAATGATAATAATAAAGAGTGGATAATAATAAAAAATACTATTCATTAAATTCTAGTCCATGTTATGAATTATGTGTGCTATTCAGTTTCATTAAAGTAAATTCCTTTCATGGAGAACATAATTAAAAAAAACAACATCAACAGGAGACAAACTGTCTATACTGTTGACTGTTATTTTAAGGATATTTCACTGCATTTTTCCCTTCTTGGAATTCATAAGAACATTTTCCTCAGAAGATTACTATACAAGCTTACACCATTGAATTGATTATTGTGACTATTCTTAAATAAGTGAAAAATTTTTTTTTTTTTTTAAAAAAAAATATTTTACTGTAAAAAAAAAAAAAAAAAAAAAAAAAAAGAGAGAGAGGAGATAGCAGATTCTTGTATTGATTTGATGTTTTAGTAAATTAATTCATGAAGTTGTTGGAAAGAAAATCATATTTGAAGCAAATAGCAATACAATTTTTCAGCTTTTTCACATATTTATTCTTAAATACAAAAATAATAAACAGGAAGAAAATGATAGAAATAATTTATACAAAAATAATAAACGGAAAGAAAGTAATAATAATTAACACACAAAAAAATTTTTTTTTGCAAGCATACATTTTTTAAAGAATTTTCATAATAAAATGAAAAATAATGGATGGAATCAATCATCTACAGGATCATACACAGCGTGCATGATCCTGAGCTTAACTTTCGCTTTACGAGCTTCATCCATATTTTTCAATTTATTGTGAAAACTCATTAAAAATGCATCGTAGATTTTTTGCGAGATCAACTCATTATTTCGTTCGGATATGATTACAACTCATTCGGATATAATGTGCTCAATATTAAAAACAATGTTGCCTTCGATGTGACAGTGAAATCGTCTAAAGAAAGCCACTTCGTTTTAGCTCCGCTCTGATTGGCCGACGCTTATCCCAAACTCTGCATAAAGTTGAAAACTTGGAAGCTTGTGCCACGAGTCTTAAACCAGATTATGTGACGTAGCACAGATGGTTGCCTTGGCAACGTAGTTCGGCTTTAACTCTTTTGGATCGAAGTCGCCTGTAACGCCCGTTCATTCAGGCAACAGCAAACCGCCCCAACGCCTCATTTATTTTCTACCTAGTGCCTTCCGTCTCCAAGTTAGTGTATGGCTCATTGGTTTCGCGAGTTGTTAAGAGACATGTCAATCATTCTTTTGAAGCAACTAAAAAGTACCTTTCTTATCTGAATGCACGTTCGCTCTCCTTTGTTTAGCATCAATACTCCCAGGCGAAGT